GGGGGGGGGGGGGGGGGGGGGGGACAATAGATGTCGGTTTTATGCTCATTTGTGTTTTTTTCCTTTGTAGTTTATACATGCAGATGGCTGAAGGAGCAGCTTAAGCCATGGGAATATATTAATCGGATTTCTAATGACTTTCTAATGGAATATCTGTTCAATGCATTATAATCGGATCAAATATTTTGCACACATTCAAAATATTAAAATGCTCGATATGCTCTTACTATACAATGTATCATCATCTTAGGGTAAAAATATTTTTGGAGCATATCCATGCATATGATGTGTTCATTGAGCATAATATTATCTTTTATGCTTGATACATTCATCTCGGATGAATCACCCTCTAATCACTATAGTAATAACAGTCAAATTCTTATGACAAATATTATATTACGACAGATATTATATGAGTATATTATCCATAGTTAATATTCTAAAATAAATAAATAAAAAGAGGTAAATGATGTGATAATTATCCATAGCAAATCCGAAGTGACACGTGGAGGCTTTTAAATAATAATGTATTAATTAGATATTTCAATACTCTTAGAAAACAATGACTATAAAAAGAAAATATCTCCAACTATTTTTCATATATAAATTTTTCAAACTCTCTTCGTCTATTTTTACGTTGCAAACTAACTTGAATATCGGAAGAACTCTACAAGTTATGTCCCTACACGACATATCTAAACAAGGATCTAATGATCGGACGCTTTTTGAACTCGAAAGATTTCATCTAACCAAGTCATTCATCAAGTCGAGATTCTCGATCGAATTACAAACCAAATTCGAGGTGAACTTTGCCATCGTAAGTTGGCGATCGATTAGTGGGTTCTTTTAGATGTGGCTTTCGTGTGGACTGTGGTGGAAAGAGCTAAGCGTAAGAAGAATCTCCTAAGCGTAGTATGTGAAGCCAAGCTGAGGAAGAGGAGAATTGAATCCATCCTTGGTAGCATCAGCTGCTAGCTAATTTGAGCTTCTCTGGATGTTGCTTGCTTGTGTGTGTTGTTGTGAGAGTTGTGCTTTGTGCTTGAGCTGCAACATTTTGCCAAATGAAGGGAAGCTGGGTTTCTATTCAGATCACCTTGCAATTGCCAACCATGGATCACCTCAATCCAACATTCCTCACTGGCACTGAGTAATAGTGTCTTGAATGTAGGAGGCTCTCGCCAATATAATCCTATGGAACCAACAATCTGTGCATCTTGTGATGTTTTGGCAAGGGGTAAAGTCTCTGCAACCCTACTTGCACACTTAAGGACGGGTGATGCAAGTTTCATGAGCAAGGGTAGTGTCATGCATGAAAACTCCAAACCCTAAATACTAAACCATGATCACTCAATGCTAATATGGATGTAATATATTGGTTTAATCTCATTTCAAAAGTGAGTAAAATTTTGGATCAATTTATAAGGACATAATGGATGTATTACTATTAACTTATGTTTAAATATTTTGGGTAAGGTTCAAACTCAACATTAATAAATTATTTAACATTAGGTCATAATAATTGATATCACAGTCAACTTAGTATTAAACGTACGAAAGGATATAAGTAGGGGTTATTCGTGGATATTACAAAAAGATATAGAGTTGAGAAGATTATAGTATGAAAATGGATCTTATGGAATAATCTTATGTGATAATTTATATTACTTTTTTATGACTTAAATGATGGACACACAAAAAAAAACACACACACAAAGATCATAGAAAAAAGTTTTTTGCAAGAAATATCTTAGAAATAGGATATTTTACAAATTTAATGTGTATTTTATTTTTTAAAATATGAAATTCCATAATTCTTTCTCGTTATATTTAAAAACACATCAAAATTGATTAAGAAATGAAAACATAGAAAAATCAATAAACACATGGGCACAAGAAGATATAATTTTTCGATCACAAAAAAGATCATCATAACAAAAATATAATTGATCATAAAAGTTAGTTAATTAGTAATATAATCCAATGACAACTCTTAAAGATATAGTGAAACAACGATAAAATTGAGGGTTGATAGAAGTTTTGAAATTTATAAACTTTGGAAAATAAGATATGATAAAAATCAATATAATTTTCATTCAAAATTTGAATGAATTTTTAGAAAAAAAATTAAAGTTTGAGAATTTTTCACAGAGCCCTTGATTTTGAAAATTCTCGTAGAGCACCTTTAGTTACGTGGAAAAAACAATCATTTTATCCCTATCTCCACCAAACCCACTTCGTCTTTCGTTAGACCATCGTCATTTTCTCCCGTCGATTACTTTTACTTTTAAGTGGGTCCCTCTCTTAGATCCCATTAGACCCAACGATAAAGACACAATGGCATCTGTCGAACCTTGTTCTACTATGATAGAGGCACAACGATTCCTGTTGGACTTTACTAGACCTATCACCGGAGGCATAACCTTTGTGGCCATTACCAGCTAATCGCCCCCACTTCGACGAGGAAGGAGGGGTGTGCTTTCGTCATCACTTGTCGCCCACCCTCACTTATAACCTTTATCACTTGTCTAACGAGATTTGGCGGGAGTCACTACGCCTTCATCATTAGATGTATTTGATAGAGAAATATAACTAATAAGACAAATGCATGATGACCAATGGGGGCATAACGATCATAAAAGAAATAATGTTCTATAAGAATTTTTTTTTAAAATTGAATGAGAAATAAGATTTTTTTTTTGAATTTACCCTCAAAATTTCTCTAAATACTTTTAACATCATCAAATTTATAGGACTCAAGGATACATAAAAGTCATGCATATATTCCAAGGTTTATAATTTTTTTATGGTGCTCTTATTGAATAGAACTTTTTTATTATCCTCCTACACGTCTTTTCATAGTATTTCTTTAGATATAGATGTACAAGAGACAAGAAAACTAGATTGAAATTTATTTTGTTACAATTATAATAACTATAGATATCTGCTAAACTTGCTCAACAGGAAAGGTGTTGTTCACCAAGAGAAGAGATTGTTTTAAGGCACAGTAGAGTCAGCTCCTACAATGGCTTTCATTAGGGCACCAGCAACAGCAGCAACATCAAGAGGAGGAAAAAGAGGCTCTCTTACCAAAGTAATTGATTAATGATGCTAATCATGATTGACACTGAAAGTTAAATTCTTCTCTTACACATCAGATTTTATTAGGTCAGGATAAATAATTCCTTAAGATAACAATACCTTTTCACATATTACATATTATAGTAATCTTTCTCTCCATGGATGGATGGTTCTATCATCACTTAGAAGTTGTGGCTAATGCATGAATGTCTCATCATAAAACAAAAGATATGTTTGATCTTATCATGTCATTGACTTTTGAAGATAAAATAGTTGCTCTTTGGCCATTGTAGTTTGGCTTTTTGGAAACCTGAATGCTCTTAATTTTCCTCTCTTGCTTAAGTTTTTGGCCAGTTTTATATATGACATGGTTAATTAATTAATATTTTAATATGTGATCACTTTGGCAAGCTTGACAAGGGATAAGTTCTGTGTATTTGTGAAGGTAATTATTAGATGTGCAACATTTAAGAATTTTGCATCTAATCACAAAATTATATCCTCTCTGACAAACTTCACAAGGAATTAGTTTTTTTTTTGAGCTAAATGTGACATGTGACACATTTATGGATTTCTTATAAATGTGATATAAGTTTTGTACATTTTGAAGGTAAATTCTCTCAGTAAACTTGGCATATGTTTTGTATATTTGTAAATGTGACATGTGCAGCATTTATGCATTTTGCATTTGATCACAAGCCTACATCCACTCTGACAAACTTGGCAAGGAATAAGCTATGGAGGTAAATGTGACATGTGATACATTTATGAATTTCTCATAAATGTGCATATGTTAAGGTAAATGTAAGTTGTGCAGCATTCATGAATTTTGCATCTAAGCACAAAACTACATCCCATTTGACAAACTTGAGAAGGAATAAATTTTGGAGGTGAATGTTACATGTGCAACATTTATGAATTTCTCATAAATATGTGAGATAGGTTTTGTACATTTGTGAAGGTAAATGTGGGGTGTGCAACATTATTGAATTTTGCATTTATCATATTTGACAAACTTGAATAAGTTTTGAAAGTAAATGTGACATGTGAAACATTTATGAATTTCTCATAAATGTGAGATAATTTTTGTACAGTTGTGAAGATAATGTGTAACATTAATGAATTTTGCATGTAATCATAAAATCATATCCTCTCTGACAAACTTGACAAGGGAGAAGTTTAGAGGTAAATGTGACATGTGAAACATTTATGAATTTCTCATAAATGTGAGATAAGTTTTGTACATTTGTGAAGGTAAATGTGAGATGTGCAACAATATTATTGAATTTTGCATCTACTCACAAAATTACATCCTCTCTGACAAACTTGACAAGCAATAATTTTTGGAGGTAAATGTGACATGTGAAGCAATTATGAATTTCTCATTAATGTGTGATAATTTTTGTACATTTTTTTAGGTAAATATGAGATATGCAACATCTATGAAGTTGGATCTAATCACAAAATTGCATGCCTTTTGTATTCATGAAGGTAAATGTGACATGTGCAACATCTATGAATGTCACATTCAATAACAAAATTACATTCTCCTTAGCAATATTTATGAGCTTTGCATCTACTCATATACTTGCATGATATAAATGTGGTACATTTGGGAAGGTAAATGTAACATGTGCAACATTTATGAACTTTGCACCTAATAATCAAAGTGCAGGAAAAGAATTGGAAGCACACCTTAAAGAGAATTTAAATCTATAGATGCATGCATTTTTATAATACTTAAACACATACCTTCTGCCCCAGTACCATAATTTCTTATCAATGTTATTTTATATAAAAATTTAAATCTAGATACAAGAAAAGATCTGATTTATATTCATAATATGCTCTAATCAAGACCAAAGCAAACACACCATAATCTCTAAAACTACACAGCTGAATAGACTCTCATATTTATTTATTTAATTTGAGTTATTCTTTGAACAATATTATTCTTAAAATTTAAAAATTATAAATAAATTGAAGACTATTTTCTTAGGATAGTGTGTTTGAATAATTAAACTCAGAGATTGATGATCGATATAGAAAGGATTGGAAGATAATACTCAAGAGATCTTTAGTGGACAACAAAAGAGACGAAAATATCATAACTATTACTTAAAAAAATATAAAACATTTTAGGTACTTGTCCTTGTTCAGTTTATTTATTATCAAGGTTGATAGGTCATACTCCAACCCATTAGCTTATAATGTCCACTAATTTCTGATATTTTATTTTTTACATAAAAAATAAATAAATAATTTAAGTCTAGGATCTTGTGATGTAAAGTTAAAGTCACTATTAACTAAGCCAGCTGATATGAATCAAAACTAATAGTTCCAAAGCTCAATAGAATTTTATAAGATGATTATTAATCAATGCCATGAGAATCCAATAGAATGGCCATTTCTTTTAAGTTAAATTGCTTTGTATTTTAGACTATGATACTCCAATTTCTGATCACTCTAATCTCATAAAATAGTCAAATCTATTTTTGTATGTTGAATAATGTCAACTATTGATAGAAATGTATAAGAATATATTTTTGCTCTTAGTTTCTCTATTAAGATTCCTGCTTTATCAGTGATTACACAGTAATTTATGCCCTCTAAGTCATAATTCAGAAATAAAAGTCTTTTATTTATGCAAAGAATAATTATATTAATATGCTTAAAATAATAAATAATAATACAATAAGAGAGCCATAGTTCTTCAACTATTTAGGTCGGCTACATATAATCTTTTATGACCATTGAGCTAAAATATTAAATAATATATTTAAACCTTAATTTTGAATAAGATATTTGAAAATCAACATCTTTTTCTACATCCATAAAATTACTATTGCAATGGTAAGGGTGGGAAAGAAAAAAAAAGGTATCAAACTCAGATGCTTACCTTCCTACTTCAAACTCATCTTGAACTCAGATGCACATTTCAAGATAATGGATTGAACACCCACATCTTTTATCCTATCAAATTCAACTATTTAGGTACTAAAGTTTGAGTTCCACTCAAGATCCTTTAGGAGAAGGAGAAAGGGAACAACAAAGTAGTCTCTCTTCCACCAAGTTTCATGAGGAAAAATGCTTCTCAAAGTTTCATGAATTATAATTAGCAGTGTTGTTCATCATCTTGTTGGACTATGAATTTGATACTATAGCTTTGTTCCATCATGGTTTAAGTTCAAAACAAGGCCCTTGGAATGATCACAAGTGCTCATCTTGTGCACCTCCTCCAGAGGGAAAAGGGAGGTCATGAATCCCTAACATCATCTTGTGTGTAATTAATTATAGGTCATGAATCCCTAATGTCATCTTGTGTGTAATTAATTATGCATCTGCAATGCTATCCAGCTCAAAACCATGTCCTAATAAAAAATCTCCTACTTGGATTTCAGATGGTTGCAGTAGCCTGCTTGAGCTGGTTGCCAGTTCTGATCTCACCAACAAAGATGAAGCCAAGGCTCTCTGACTCTGGCAACAGTAGATGAGAAGGAAGTTCCAGTCCTGACAGCATTCATGAACAATTCAGATGGAAGCCTGCAAAGTTCAACTTGTCAGTCAACCCTGAGCTGAATCCAGCTAAAGATGGCCACTGTGAACTTAGTCTTCTTCCCCATAGCCTTTACCACCATCATCTATCTCTAAATCTGTTCTTCATCCATATATAATCCAATGTTCATGAATGTTGCATCTGGAGCAACCCATAATTGGAGAAGCACATCCTGATGTGACTTCCTCCAATGAGCTTTTGCCACTGTTGGTGTCAGAATGCATGTGGTTGGCTGCTTGGGCTGGAGCGGATCTAACACAAATCCAACCAAAGTTCCCTGTTCCTTATTTTACTATGGTGTGATTGGTCCCATCGAACCCAAAACTATTCGTCTCCTTTCCACCATCTGTGCATCTTCTCTTGCTTCTTGTCTTGTCTGTAAGCTGATCCAGTGTGGTGAGAACAGTAAAAATTTCTTGGGTAACAGAGGCTGATGATTGAACGGATTGAGGTTATCTGAGAGATAGCAATGGCTCACTTGTCATTGAATAGATAGCAACAGCCCACTTGTTGTGACCATGAAATGGGTGATGAGGAGGTGAGGGTGTCGAGGGGGGAGGGATCTTCTTGAGCCTGCCCAACTCTGGCTGTCACTGTCTCTGCTGCCATGGTCTGCTCCCTCATGGATTGAAGTCTCTCCCCGAGTCCTCTTCTTTCCTCTCTGACTTTGGAGATTGGCCTTCTTGGTTTGCAGACAACAACGCAGGAATCGAAGACAACTTTCCCTCCTTTCAGGGTTCCATCTCTTAGGTACTTTCCCATCTGAAATCTTGAGTCTTGGTTCCTTTTGGGGCAACACTGCGTGAAATATCTGATCTTTTGTCCTTTTCCTGGGGATTGGATTCTTTATCTTGATCTCTGTTGACCAATAGCGCATGCGATCGAGCTGCTCGTGTGATGGATTGGAATGCGAACGCGTCCTTGCTGTGGGATTGGGACAACCACGCGCCATTTGGTGGGAATTACAAGTTGTCTGCCGCCGCCGCCGCCGCCGGCGGCGGTGGCGCTTCCTCTGGCTCTGAATTGGTGAATGGTTCCTCGTCCAAGAGCACCATCTCTGCTTCCTTCGATTCCTCGCCGAAGGCAGGAAAGCGACCTGGGTGGGACGCTGACCCGAAGAATCACGGCAAGAACAGAACTTTACTGGAAGCTGGTTCTTCCCCAGCTGTAGCGCAGACGCATGGATTGGAGGAGTCACAAATAGGGTTGAAGCTTGGTAAGAGAACCTACTTCGAGGATGTCTCAGCTGAGAGTACCGCGAAGAACCCCTTGCCCTCTTTGGATTCTGCAGCGGCACCTTCTGCTCTGGTCAAGAAGGCGAGAGTGTCTTATCAGAGTGCACATAGTACCTGCTGCCAAGTTGAAGGTTGCAATATCGATCTTAGTGGAGCCAAGGAGTATCACCGGAAGCACAGGGTCTGTGAAACGCATTCCAAATTCCCCAAGGTCATCGTCGCCGGTCAGGAGCGCCGGTTTTGTCAGCAGTGTAGCAGGTTACTAGATGTTAAACGATCTAGTGTTCTTTGCTAAAGAACAAGTTCATTTTGACTTGTCACCCTTGCTAATATCACTTGCAGTCATTGCCTTTCTTGCATAATTTGTTTTGTTCGTGTTTAAGGTTCCATGATTTGTCGGAGTTTGATCAGAAAAAGAGAAGTTGTCGAAGGCGTTTATCTGATCATAATGCACGACGTCGCAAGCCACGACCAAACATAATCTCCTTCAATTCAACGACCTTTTCTCCATCGGTTTACAGTATGAAAGAATTCTTACTTCACCATTATTTCCTCTTTGAATTATTGTTATTGCTTGGAATAGGTACGATTCATGTATGTTGCTTAGGGACATTGTTTCTCACATAAAATGGAATTCTTGAGGTGCCTTTTTTCTCTAAATAAAAACACTATATTAAGATTTTAAATGCCTTGTTGGCTCATTACATAGAATGTGAGCAAAAACTGAAGCAACATTATCCTTCCAAAATCCATCTGATTTTTGCAGTGCAACCCTGCTTGGCTATTCAATTAGCTGCTTGATTACATTCTCTATAACTATGATTTTGCAGTTCTTAATATCTAGTACCATAGTCTACTCTATGTCATCCAGTGAGGTGTCCCATCTCCAATTAACATGTCTTTGATGTTACTTAAGACCATCTCAGGTAGAATGTAAGTAACCTTCCTCCAGAGCTATAATCTTGCACCATCATTATTCTAAGGCAGCAGGTCAAGCATTCTGATACCACATATAACATATAAACATTTGCATTTGAGACGATATAAGATCTCCAGTCATTCTATATCGAGGACCTTTCTTTTCGAGAATTTTAGATTAATGGCAATCCAAAAACCTAGACTAATGACAACCCGATCTTACCCTTCATTTTTTCTCCATTTAAGTTGATCTAATGGTGTTATCATAACCATCGAAAACAGCCAGTCGTACTTCCTCAATATTAGCTCTTCTGAAGGACTAAGCATAATTCCATGATGACTAATTTAGACAGTGATCAAAATGGAAGCGCTATTTGCTACTAAATGGCACTCTAAATAAAAGATTCAGCAGATTAGCTCCAACAATGCCACTGTACCTGTGATGACTTGAAAGCCAGATAGTATTACTTTTAGCAATGATAAACCGTTGCTTTATCTTGTGAACACTCCATTCTGCAATTACCCTTATAACAAGTTTCAGATACTGTGTTTATGCAATTATGTGAAATGCAATTTCTGTAATATCGTGTTTCTTGTTCCTGACCAGTACCTGGCTTTTGCAGATGATAAATATCAGATGAACATGCTATGGAATAAATCTCCTTTTGGTCACATGAAACCAGTGGCAACCACCACAAGTGAAGCTTCTCAAAAATTCAAGCTTGCACAAATGAGAGGATCATGGGTGAAATCAAGCAAAGAAAGCAGCATGTATGGGCAGCTGCATATGCCAGACACTCAGCTACCAAATGGCTTTACTGCACTTTATCATGATGTAGACAAGCCCTTGCCACTCAAAGGCACTGCCGCCGAAGTACTCAATCAAGGTAATTAATGTCTTGGTGCAACTAACTCGCTCTATGCTGCTTTTGCCCAGTAGTAAACGGAAAGTTATCTAATATATTGAGTTTTTTTCCTTAAAATTAAAATTCAAGTCCTCTAGATGTGGTTGTCAGATAAACCTGTATGATAAACACGTTTATAAATATAGAAGCAGCATTCACATATTAGTCTCGATTTTTTTTCCTTTTCCTCAGAATATCTAGATGTTTCTCACTAGTGTCTTAGGAAGACTGAAGTCTGACATACATTTGCAGCACTTCAAGGCACCATACAGTATAATCCTTTTGCTTCTGACTTCAACAACGAAGTTGTCATGATATAGCAGGCCTTTTATGAAGCTAAAGATCTTCAACTTTGGACATATTATGATTTAGTCAGTTTGAAGCTATATGTTTAAAGCAAGTAAACACTAAGATTTGTTGGTTGTTGCCTTTTTTTTATTTGTCACTCGTTTGTGTGTGCGTGTGGCTGCATGAGGCCGGTGAGGTTTCATAAAGCCAACGACAGTTTTGGGAGATTGATTATTTTTCATTTGAAAATAAACCAAAATACGGTGCTCTTGCTAACACTCTTTGTCTTATTTGTGACCCTTACAGTTGAATATTTTGTGATAGTTAGTGTTTCGAGCAGTGCAAACTCATGATCTTAGTGGGAGGTGTTACTAACTTAACTGTTAAGATGCTTAGTGATTCTAGCAGGCCTGTTTTCTGTTGATAAACAACCATTAAGACCTTTACAAGCAAGCCAATTTCTTGATCAAGTAGTCAACTTTGGCAATTTAATTTGTTGAAAGTATTAAATCCTAGACTGTTTTTACTGCAACTAATTTGAGAACTCTGTACTAAAAGAAAACCATAGCATTTTGCATTTCTTACTCTTCTTGACAACGATCTTCTTTTCTTTTCTCAGGATATTTTACGTTTTGCCCTTGAATCAGGACTTCTCTTTTCCTTTCTCATGATTACTTAAACATTGAAAAAATTAATATTTCATGTGAAATATATCCTTTGACTATAAGAAATAACTCTTGTTTTCTCATTTGTCTTGAAACGACCAAGTAGATAAGTGATAAATACTTCTTCCTTTCACAACCTATGATTGGCTTTCTTGAAAAATTAAACAATTAAAAAGCAAATGTTCTGTTCCTATATTTCAATTTTTTTATAAATTTTGTTAGATAAATAAGCCATGGAGTGTAGCCAAGCCAAAAGAATTACCGATTACAACCGACTAATATCCTTCTACCCTTTTTGTTAGCAATATTACTTCTTATTGATTCATCATTCCTAGGTGTCAAAATTTTCCCTAATAATACTTATTTCACCTGTGAGATTCTGGCCAGGGGAGATCAATTAATACTTTCATTTTTTCCATGTAACTTGCTGATCTGCTCACTGCTAAGATTAAAGAATTTTTTTTTCTTTGTCTAATATATTCCTCTTCTCTTTGCAGGTTCAGAGGCATCTGCAGGAGCTTCGAACTTGGACAGAGCACCAGATCTTCGGCGTGCTCTCTCTCTTCTGTCAACCAGTTCTTGGGGTTCTCCCGACCCAAGAGGCAACGGACAAACTCCTTTCATTATCATGGATGCTAAGCATGCCAGTTCGGCACAGCCCACTGTACCTGTCGCGAATCCCTCAAATCACTGGATCTACGGAGAGCCTGTATCTCAACAAGCTCAACCACTCCTGTTTAGCATGCACAGAAATGGCAACCAGACCCAGGAGTTTCAGCTGCCAAAAGCCCCTTATAGGGATACTTTCTTTGACCCCACTCAGATTTACTGATGTCGAGAAGTCATTCGACCAACTGCAGATTTAAGATCAATGGTTGGTTTTCTATCTCGACGTGCTGTTGCCAGGATACTTTGGATGCCAGTCTTGCATTAGATTTTTAGCTCCAGCTGCTGCTCCATTGTGAAGAACAGCATTATGGGTTGACCTCAATTGTTGATCATGCACAACAGGCAGTAGTGGATGTAAGAAGATGGTCTGTGTTATGTTAATTAGTATATGACTCCTATGCCTTTCCCAGACAATGGATTTGGGAGACTTTGCAAGGTTTAGGAGGGTGTGCTGTGTTGTTTCTTTCACTTTTGGTATGCTCTGGTACTGATCTATAGCAAGACTTCCTTTAGATATATCTTTGCACCAGTGTTGGTGATTCTGGTGCCTGCCTAACTCACATATGTGACCTTAATGACATCAGATCTCCTATCAATTAGCTCAAGTTAGATCCATTATTTGTCCTATAATAGAGAGTGGTGGTTGGCATGAAGAGTAGTGTAAAAGGAAATTTACTTCAGATATGACTGGAAATTAGATTTGAGGTTGTTGAAATGAGACCATTGAGTCCTAAGTAACTCTATATGTTTCTAGTTCTAGATAGATTGCAACACAACTTTGATATAGGGAGCTTGGAATTATCCACAACCCCAATGATTGAGACACACAATCTACCTTTTGATATCAAATTTTATGATCTTATTCTAAAATAAATCTCATGAATTTATCTCTTCTATATGAAACATGCGATGGGACCATATGATACATATATTATATTTGACCAAATCCAATTTGATGGTTGGACCATTTGGTCTTGACTTGAGGATGAGCTCGAGATCATCTCATTTTTCTAGTTGAAGAAGGCCATGAGCAAGCTGAATCTGCTTCCCATCATACTCTATTTCTGGGAAATGGTCGCAGCAACCTATGCCATTCAATGGCAACACCCCACCAACTCCACCCTATTCCTTGGCCTCTCCTGTATCCACGCCTAACCTCACACGAGAGAGAGAGAGAGATAGAGATCATGAAGACCAACAAAGGAGGTCAAGGGAGAAGAAGAAGAGAGGGAAGGATAACCTTAGCAGCTCCCCTATCTGCTGTGCCTCTCAGGAAGAGAGGTAGTCAAGAGAGAGGCACCAGCAAGGAGAGGAGAGAAGAAAGCCTGGGCTGTTGATCGTACGTTTTGGTGGTAGGTAACTAATCTCTTCTTCCTCCCCATATGGAGTGGAACGGCAGTCATTGATGGCGAGCATGCATGCAGAGAGCAATGTCGCAGAGGGAGCAGCAGCCGGCGGATGGACCGGCGTCGTCGCCGCTGGTCGCGGTCGCCATCGACAGGGACAAGAACAGCCAGGGCGCGTTCAGGTGGGCTCTGGACAACGTCGTCACCAGAGGCCAAACCCTCACCCTCGTCCATGTCAACACCAAGCCCTCAAGTATGCTCTCCTTTGCATGGAGGATTCACGTAGGCATGGTGTTTGTAGTATCGACCCATGCAATCTCAAACTACGGTTACAGCCCGCTGGAGATCGATCCTTGTCGTAACATATACTCTTCCTTCTCTTTTGGATGCTATGCAGCGGGGTCCGAAGACGCCGCCAACATCATCAAGGAAGTGTTTGTTCCCTTCCGATGTTTCTGCACACGCAAGAATGTGAGTCACTCGATTTCTCAGATCTCTATTGCCATGAACGTAACCGAGGGCATTTACGCAAACAGGTGCAGTGCAACGATGTCATACTCGACGACACCGACGTTGCCAAGGCTATCGTAGAGTTTGTGTTGAGATCTGCAGTCGGGAAGCTTGTGATTGGCTCATCACCGAAAGGAGGATTCGTCAGGTACGATACGATCGCTTGGACTGGAAATATTCTGTGCCGCGATGCTTTATTTTGCCATGTCTCCTTCAGATCGTTCAGAAGCACAGACACCAGCAGCAGTATCTCCAAGGGCGTGCCTGATTTCTGCACTGTCTTCATCATCTCCAAGGGGAAGGTCTCTTCCATGAGGAACGCTGCCCGGCCACCGCCGACCAGTGCTCTTATCCGGGCGCAGATCCAAAGCCAACCAACTGCTCGACCCGATCCACTGGACTACAATAACAGGAATAATGTCATGAGAGGTCTGTGTGTTGATATCTGTCTCTCTCTTTGCCTCCTCCCTCTGATGACGAGGAATGAAATCTTTCAGTGCCATATGAGGCTGCATTTGCTGCACGGACTCTGTACAAAGACAACGAATCGATCAAGTAAGAACTCGATGAACCATGAAGAAGTAGCTCATGTTAATCCTCCGGTGCTGAAGGCTGGATCTTGTGCCTCAAACAGGTCGCCCTTTACCAGGGGAACGCGTGCCACGAAATCGTATGGGGAGATGATGATGGACAGCGATATCTCATTTGTGAGCAATGGCAGGCCAAGCTTCGACCGCGGCTACCCACCGAGACTGTCGAACATGTCCGACGCCTTGGATCGTAGTTTCGAGTCACCTCGCAAGTCGGTGGGTGGGTACTCGTCCTCGAACGGCGTCTCTTCCCTGTCCTATGAGAGCTCATCATCTCCCGCTATGGTAAGTCCGAAGCGAACAAAAGAAGCATTTACCTGATTGGATTCTGATTTGTAGTCAGTCTGCACTTAACTGAGTTGCAGGACGAAGTGGAAGCAGAGATCAGGAGGCTAAGGTTAGAACTGAAGCAGACCATGGACATGTACAGCACAGCCTGCAAAGAAGCACTTACGGCAAAACAAAAGGTGATCGATCTTGTCATTGCTTCCCCCCCAAAACTGAACTCGGTTTCAGAGGATGCCTCCAATGGTGCAGGCAATGGAGCTGCAGCGCTGGAAGACGGAGGAAGGGAAGAGACTGGAGGAAGCTCGGCTGTCGGAAGAAGCCGCTCTGGCCTTGGCGGAGAGGGAGAAAGCGAAGCGAATGGCCGCCATCGAGACGGCTGAAGCGTCGAAAAGGATTGCAGAGTTGGAAGCGCAGAAGCGGATCAGTGCAGAGTTGCAGGCAGTGAAAGAGGCCGAGGAGAAGATAAAGGCTTTCGATGCGATGTCGCACACAAATCTCAGGTACCGGAGGTACACCATCGAGGAGATCGAAGTAGCCACCGAGAACTTCGCGGAGAACAGGAAGATTGGAGAGGGTGGGTATGGTCCTGTCTACAGAGGCACTCTGGATCACACGCCTGTCGCCATTAAGGTACTGCGTCCCGATGCCGCTCAAGGAAGGTCACAGTTTCAGCAAGAGGTATCGAACGCAGACATCAATCTTCGAACTGTTGGTTCGATCCATCAGTTTCTGATGCAGTGACCTGTTGGGACTTCCACAGGTCGAGATACTGTGCTGCATTCGGCATCCAAACATGGTGCTGTTATTGGGTGCTTGCCCGGAGTATGGCTGCCTCGTGTACGAGTACATGGCAAACGGGAGCTTGGAAGACCGTTTGTTCAGGCGGGGGAACACGCCGCCGATTCCCTGGCAGCACAGGTTTCGGATCGCCGCAGAGATCGGCACCGGCCTCCTCTTTCTGCACCAGACGAAGCCGGAGCCGCTCGTCCACCGGGACCTCAAGCCCGCGAACATCCTCCTCGACAGGAACTACGTGAGCAAGATCAGCGACGTCGGCCTCGCCCGCCTGGTGCCGCCGTCGGTGGCGGACAACGTCACCCAGTACCGCATGACGGCCACTGCCGGCACGTTCTGCTACATCGACCCGGAGTACCAGCAGACGGGCATGCTCGGCATCAAGTCAGACGTCTACTCTATGGGGATCCTGCTGCTGCAGCTGGTGACCGGGAAGCCGCCCATGGGGCTGACGCACTACGTGGAGCGTGCGATCGAGAAGGGGACGTTCGAGGAGATGTTAGATGGCTCGGTGCCGGACTGGCCCGTCGAGGATGCTCTAAGCTTGGCGAAGCTAGCGGTCAAGTGCGCGGAGCTCAGGCGGAAGGATCGCCCGGATCTTGCGACGGGCATATTGCCGGAGCTCAACAGGCTGAGAAATCTCGCGGAGGAGAACATGCAGTACTCTGTGCTACTGGGGTACAGCCCTCTCACCTCACCCATGCAAAGCCAAGTCTCCACACAAGTACGTCGTTCTCTCACCATTCTGCAGCTCTTCTCTCATACCACCATGATCAAAGGCTCTTCTCTTGCACAGTCAAGTTTGGCAGAAATTGTCAGGCTTCATTGATAGACGATAAACTCTGATACTAAATGGCACACACGTAGAACGAATGCTCTCTTAAATCCTTCGAATTCCTGGAATACATAAAAGCTGAATGCCATGATCAGCAACTCGAATTAGCAACTTCATGCAAGATATCATTCCATCAGAACTTCATATTGGCATTCTTTCTTTCTTTCTCTCTGTTTGTTCAGGACTTCATGAGTGCACCTTCAGCTCTGCAATCCGGATATGAAAGCTCAAGAAGTCGGTATAGTGGATCATCTGTGCCTGGAAGAACATGATTGGTGAGCAATATATGGTATAAATTGAGGGTAAAATCCTGGTTTTTTGTGTTAGTGGAAACAGAACAAAACTAAACATGAGGAGGCATTTCAACTCTCACTGCTTTCATCTCTCCTTCTTGGAACCAGGCAAGGGAATGAATCACCTGTTACTGCAGTCGGATGTAGAAACAGCTAGTTGATGATGAAGTACTGCTTCTGCCTCATCTCTTGGTCAAGGAAGATTTGTTTGTACTACTACTACACATTGTATGTATCATTCCCTCTCCTTCTACTTCCTTTTTTCTTTTTCTTTTTCATCTCTTCCTTTTCCCCTCCCTTTTTTTGGAATCTTATGTAAAATTTCAACTTGCAAAGTACAAAAACAATTACAAAGTATTTTTTTTTTCCCGCATCTATACAATCTTCATATAGCAATAGTTTGTCATATGTTTGACATCTTTATGTCAACTAAGATGAAACCCAATTTGATATGCAAAATACAGGTTTCAGAAAGCAAATGCAACTTAGGAACTTTGCACACAGCAGTGACATGAGCAAGTTTGATCAGCCCAGTGATGAGGAAAGCCATTTCTTACATGATAATGTACCTGGGTCATTGCATCTGCATGCCTACCTTTCTCATCCCATGGATCATAAGTTCATGTATATTTCATTCTTCCTTCTAAATTATGTAAGCTCCATAGTTTCATGCTAATATAAAAATATTCTCCATTCTTTTAGCTGGCAACTCAAAAAGTGAAATATGAATTTTATGACAAGAATTGACAACAAATTAAGTCCACTTTGATGAGAGAATCTATTTCATCCTAATTATCTGTGTTTACATATTTCTAAATAATCTATCCAAAATTCTCTTAAAACTCCAAGGTTTTTGGCTTGTCTTTACATGTGATGGTCACATATAAGAAGTAAAAATCACATTCAAAGTTGCTATATATTTAGAATTATATAAATTACTAATCTTCCATTTTGAAATGAGAACTCACTTCAGTTTTTAGGTGCTGCAGCTTCACAGTTTCATGCACCCACATTCCCTCTTGTCCCCCATGAGTCCATGTAACATGATGAATTCCTTGATTCATGTGTGAGACAAATTGTACAATAACCTATAGATTAGTCCAACATATTATTCATGTTGATGAATCAGGCTACATATATTCATGTTGGCCCATAATCTAAATAAATTAAGCCTTTTCAATTTATAATGGTGTCCAACCATCATATATAAATTATTTTTGTGCATGTGCAGAGTAGTAGTATAATTAATTCATAAACAGGCAAAAATGTTTATGAATGACTTGTACTTGTTTTCTCAAAACTTCTCTCACATCTAATATCTTATGTCCATATGATCTCTTGTGAGCAAAATTTTATCAGAT